GGGTGGATGTGTCTGTCACATGTTACATGTCACATGAACAGACAAGTGATTCAAATGATTTTTCAAACAGTTTCAAACAGTAGTGTGAATATAAAGCACATAATTATGAATCAGTATACTTCTTTAAAAATAACAAAAGTAGCAATAATCAACACCACTTATACCTTTGTCAAAAATTCTGTTATTGACCACATTAATAATGAGTTGAACAGATACTTGAAGCGTCTGGAGAGATGGGGAAGGGAGGAAGGTATGTGCTGAACCGTACTGTGTTTATATAATATGTTTATGTGTCCTAAAATTACCCTTACCTTTACATGTCTTTCTTTTAAACCTATGAAAAGGTTGTAAGCTCAGTCATTTTCATTGCAGACAGTTAAATAAGTACAAAGCGACAACAAACCTTGGTCCCCCTCTTTTTTTGCATTTGAAACACCAGCTCAGCCCTTGGAAAACAAGGGAGTGCAGTGAGTTTCAGTCAATTCCTGTGCAGATCAGAATGCTTCCTTAACAAATGAAAACAAAGAAATACAAAATGACTTCAGCACAACCTGAAAAACTCTCTCTTGCGTTGTCAGGAATAAGCAGTGTCTCTCCAGGGGAAAATTGAACCCAGAGATGTTTTGATATCGTGGTCTGTAAAGCCTGGAAAGAAGAACTGTGTTATAATAAATTCCAACTAAAGAATGGGACAGCCCTACATCAGGAAGTACTTGCTTCCCAACATGTTTGGAAAGTCCCACAGTGTTGGTCAGTTTTAGGGGAGAGAGTCATATTCAGTGTTCTGAAGAGGAAGGAGAATGATATTTGACAGGAATACTTAAGAATTCTCTTTGTAATTTCACTGTGGTCTCAGCCACAAAGTTAGGTTAAAGGAATCCATCCCTACCTACCACATTACACTTAATGATATAATGTACATTCAAGGAAATAGTGTATCCATATGATGAATGTTATGGCACAGCCTTCAGCCATCGTTTTGTAAAATAGAAAGCAGGCAAGGCAGACCGGTGGAGGTTCATCTCTTCAGGATGTCTAGGTTTTGTCTGGCTATTAATCCCTGCCAGGCACAAAACAGTGCCACTAGGATAAACCTCTTTATTGTGAATATGCAAAAGTCTTAAACTGCAGTTAACATTCCAGATACAGCAGGGAAACCAGACTTAGGTCTCTCGACATAGTTGTAGTTTTTGTTTACTGTTTTCTGCAAAAATAATGAAGAATCACTTCTCTTGGAATGGCATCACATCTGCACAAATCCAACAAACACTGTTGTATAGTCATTGAAGTCACGTGTAAATCCTGTGATATAGTCCTGTTTCTCACCCATCGATATAAGAAATACACTCTTCATGGTGGGAGAAGATGACAAAACAAGTTCTCTTCTACAAGGATAGTATGAAGAATAATAGGAAATCAATCCCATGATTCAATTTTCTTACCCATAATTCAGTTTTATGGGCACCATTCTTGTAGCCTGCTAAACACCAATGATAGGATATTTGAATGTGAGCAACACAGCAGTGGTGTAGTGCAGCTTCTGTGGTGTTCTCAGCATAGGAACAGGACATGGGACATTTTTAGAGAATGGGTTAAAAGGTGATTCAATAGAGTGAGGATAGGCTCACTTACAGGGGGAAATATTGCTTTGTTTATAATCTAAATTAAAAATGAGAAGATCTCCAATGATTCACAATGAGAGAAATGTTAGTTAGTCTCAATAGTCCACTTTTTGGTAACTAAGAATGCAGGGTTTCTACCTTCCCTAAGTCATTATGAATAAAATCAGCATACAGTAATTCACAATTAGCCATTCTGAATTAAATGGTGTGAAAATAAAATAATTCATTTTGCATAAGAACATATGAAAGGGTACAAATATAAGAAGGCCATTAAACATCTCACTTCTTTGCTAGTTCATCCAACGATCTCATTCAGCTGTTTTTTAGAAGAGGCTAAGGTATCAGTTTTGATCCTGTAGATAATTTGTTCCAAACACACAATTCTCGGTGAAGATTCTCCTTTTCTGTTTTAAAAGCACTTTTGATTTGTTTCCATTTGTATTGTGTGGTTTATATTTCGCTGTTTATAAAGTGTTCAATTTTGAAAATTCATCCCCTTCTTTAAATCTGTCAACACATTCCTTTAAGAACAGGAATATATCGGTTTGTTCTTCTCTAACCAGAGTGCAGAGCAACAATATTGTTATTCTAACAGGGTGATTCTAACATAGTGTAATATGCAAGTTAAATATAGCGTCCTCTGACTTAAACTTTACACTTCTGACTATTTCCTAACATTCTGTTGCATTACTATTACTTTCCTGCATGGTGTGAAATGTGATGAGATTTTGGTGAAAATCATCACTATAGACACCTGTCTTTCACACAGATGTCTCAAATTCAAGTTTAGTTTTAAGTACTTTTTCCATAATCTAACATATTCTAGAAATACATTTCTTTATGGATGGGTGATACTCGACAATTAATCAGCATACCTTCCCTTTGCGTAGTCTGAAACAGTATCACGCTGGTAAACACTTAAGTGAAAAGTTCACTTAATACATTAATACATTTCTTTTCTCATGAACCACTTTAATTGATTAACTCTGAGACCTTTCAGTTTGTCTTCTACCGTTGTCTTGCTGTTGTAATAATGTTATAGTTTTAAAAACGGATATCTTCAAAATTAGTATTGGTTTTCTCTTGATTATTGATTCAGTTTTGACCTCTTAAACTTTTTAGGATTCGAAGCTGAGCAGACCTGACTGTTTTTTACAATGTGGGTATTTATAAAACCCGTATACTGACTAGGAGAAACAGTCCTAACTGTGTTGGTCATAGTAAGCCACCGCTGTTCCGACATGCCTTTCTTAAAATACTGGGTTCTGCTACAAGAGCCAGCTTGGAGGAATGAAAGAAAACCACAGCGTGAATCTGCAGCAGAGCATCCATCCACTTCAGCGGTAACACCTGGCAGTAATGTCTGCGTTAAGAGAGATTTAGACATTTTAGGTTACAAAGGAATGCACTTCCATTGGTTGAGGAATCCACGGAAACTCACAATATTTTGATCATGAAACGATTAAGAAAAGTTGCATCTGGAAGATAGCCTCCATTAGGACATATATTGAGAGATGAAAACTGACCCAATTGGATCAATTCTGTTTGAAGGAGAGACTATTTAGAGGTGGAATTTTGGTTTAATGTTACTGAGCATATGGAAAAGGGGGCTTTCAGCAAGTCACAAATATATTAAAAAAACTGTTTCATAATTATGTATTATAATTATTTATTTTTTTACAGACATTTTTATAACAGAGGGAACTTGGAAAGTTTTTAAAATGTGATTTGACATTCAGATATATTATTGGCGACTTCTGAAACTGCTGTTCTACAAATAAAGGCAAGCAATAAATCGGTAGTTATAAACTATGTAATCAAAATCATTTTTCAGTTATTCAGATGGAAGACCGCGGGTAAAGATTTTTTTTTTGGATTGAGTGTTGGTACTTCCTGCTGCATCTGTGTCGAACTAACCAACTTTAACCTACTGCAGTACAGTAAGAAAAAGTAGCCCAATGGTTAAACATTATTATTTCTGTGACAAAGATTCACATTCACAGAACACAAATATGTATTGTGCGCTTATGTCTGTGTTCCACAGTAGCTTACTTTATCTGACTTCACTACAGAGTCATCCATTGTGTGGAGTTAGGGCAAGCAGCAACAGGACTGAAACACAGAAATCCATCAGTCAGAACACAAGTAGCACCCAAGTTGCATTGCTTACAATTGCTCATGTGTCACCAGTGGAAAAGTCTGAATATTTTATTTTCTTTCCTTTGTTGTGCTTTGTTAGGGAGAAAAGTAAGTTGTTAGTATGGATTTTAGCCATCTGGTGTGCCATGGTATTTCATTTTTCATTTCTAACATTATGAATTCTGTGTGAAAGGGATACATTCAGGTAGGCGGCCAAAAACCTGGAAGCAGCAAGAGTGACCACACAGGTGTGGTTTATTTATTAGTTAAATAACATCCCAGAATGTTTAGGGTCATGTGTAAAATTGCTGGCCTGTAATTATGGCCAGCAGGACCTCTGTAACTGTGAAAGAGGGGTGATTATCCTTGAGTGTTTAGCAGGAACTTCAGTGACCAAGACAGCTGAACTTGCTGATAAGCAACCGTCTCTAAGGTCACGTCTGCATGGAGCTGAGAGAGAAAGACGTCATGTGCAAAGGGCAACAGCGGGCAAAAGCACAAACTTCAGGAAAGTTGGATCCATGCATTAATTTGAAAGGCAAAGGCAAACGAGTGAGCAACTGCAGATCACTTGTCTGTACTTTTAACCTGGGGAGTTTCATTTCTTTCCTGCCTTCATGGGTGTCTTGCTGGAAGTGTGCTTTCTTAGTGATTTGATGGTCTTAACACTGATGTTATCCGTACGTCATGGCCTTCCCATCGCCAGATCCAAATCCCATTGAGTATTTAAGAAAGATTCTTGAATAACACCCGAGACAGTCTTTTCCACCTACTATAGATCAACAAGGTGTGATTTGCCTGACTTTCTCATGGAACATCTGTATCCTTCCTGCAGAATTCCGGATGCTGGTAAACTATCTCACAGTGTATACAGGTCGTGCTGGCTACACATGGTGGCCTAATGTTCTATTATTAAGGGACTTTGCATAGGTAGTTTCATTTTTTCTGTCCACTAATGGTAGGTAAATGTTAAAATTTCAAGAGGTTTTTTAGTGTCCACCCAAATTGCTGTGTTAACTTTGTATCATAACAAGGCTTTTTAGATCACCACTTTAAGGAAAGCAGAGGGTGTCGTTGAAAGAGAGAGTCTGACAAATAATGTACTCTCACCCCTGCCTCTCCTGATAAGAGACAGAAAGATCGGCTTGCATCATAAACTGCAGTGTTTTTAAAGGTAGAGTATTAAATATTTGGGCCTTTAAAACGTGTCAATGCCCTCCTTTTGCTTTATTTTTGCAGGGAAAGATGTCTTGAGGAAGCCCTTCCCAGCCGAGACGTCGCAGTAAGACGAGTGGGTTTTTGTGCTGCCAATGTTCGCCGCAGAAAGCCCCTGCAGGGATAGCAGCCGCAGAGGCCCAGAGGCACTCTTCTCCACCCCCTCCTCCCTCCCGTGAAGCCGCCCCCGATCCCGCGAGCATGTCCATCACCCTGAAGCAAGTCTTCAACAAGGACAGGACCTTCCGGCCGAAGCGCAAGTTCGAGCCAGGCACCCAGCGCTTCGAGCTGCACAAGAAGGCCCAGGCCTCCCTCAACTCGGGGGTCGACCTGAGAGCCGCGGTGCAGCTGCCCCACGGGGAGGACCTGAACGACTGGGTGGCCGTGCACGTGGTGGACTTCTTCAACCGCATCAACCTGATCTACGGCACCATCTGCGAGTTCTGCACGGAGAAGACCTGCCCCGTGATGTCGGGGGGTCCCAGGTACGAGTACCGGTGGCAGGACGACCACAAATACAAGAAACCCACTGCCCTCCCAGCCCCGCAGTACATGAACCTGCTCATGGACTGGATTGAGGTTCAGATCAACAATGAGGACATCTTCCCCACGAGCATAGGTGAGTACAGTCGGTGAGGTTAGCTGGCCTATGCAGAAGAAGAAAACTTGATCAAGTTGTAGACACGTTATTGTAGGGATTCAGCCCTGACCTGCTTTGGCGGAGAGGACAATCATAGAGAACAGGCCAAAGGCAGGTTTTGCAGCTCCACAAAGACAGGGGTTTTGTTGACCTTCTTGGTTACTGAGGCAGGTGCGGTTCACCAAGAGGAGGTAAGCAGAGTGAGAGAGATGGCAGGTGGAGAGAAAGGGGGGGAGCGCAGTTTCCCTTAGCTTGCCACGCAGTGCCAAGAGGGCGAGCACTGAGGGAGCCCCCTTATACAGGGTAAGGGAGGGGGGAGGGAAAGGTCAAGGGGCAACGGCACAGTCTATAACTCTGGGGGTGGAGTACTACAAAGTAACTGATGTGAGCTTAACTAAAGAAAACAAGAGTGTCTTTTGTATTCCTGGTCAGTTTAATTGTATTTATATACTATATAATATAGTCACGGGTATGACCAGCATAATAAATTTCCACCTACACGGGGAACGATCTGTTAAATCAGTGATGTGTTTTCATCTGTTCTTATAGCAATGGACAGTGTTATGTTTGACAAAAATGAGTAATATACAGTATTTAAGGAGTATGTTTCATGGGGTTTCTTGGGAAACTTTTTTAAAGCAATTAAACCTATAATTGTATTGCTTTTTGCAGACATTCTCTTGTGGAAAACATGGAATTTGTCGTTGGGAAATTCTCATTTAACTTCTCTGAAGCACTTGTCCTTGAACATTGTCACTTTTCAAAAGTAAATCTTTCTAAAGTGTTAAAAGATTCACAGTGCTTGTTTTGAAAGTCCTCTTAGAGTCTCAAAAATGCAGAATAATGTGTCGAAAGCAAGGCCCCCTCCTCTGTTTTGGCTGAAGGAAACTGGGAGCTGTTATCAGGGGTTGAAGAATGCTTTCATCTTCACATGAAAAGCCAGGTGGAGCCAGTATAATCAATAATTGGGACCCTTTATTGTGGGAGTGCACATTGTGTTTTACTTGGTTAGAGAGCCTGGATGTTTCTGCTTTGATGTAGTGATGTAGATGTTTCCTCAGTTGAACTCTGCTCCAGTGTTTCCTCCCTTGGAGCTATTTAAGCCTTACCTGGGTTAACCATTACAACTATTTAGCAGTCCTGCGTCTTGAGAGTTGTTGGGCTGAAGCTGGGTTTTGAATGTCATGGCCAGGCAGGGGCCTGTGAAGGCCTTAACGTGAAGAGCCAAATGTACAGTTAACAGGTTAATTCTTCTTCATGCCAACTTTGTGTAAGGCAGCAACATGTTAGCACATCTTGTCTGTCATCACAGCGATAGCCTATATTTTTCATTCCATCTGCATAACAGATGCCCTTACTATCTTCTGCTGAAATGCTGTTACATGTTTTTGTTTTATCAAAATAAGCTGACTAGACTGCTAAAGTGCCTCCTTTACTTGGGCGTCTGCTAATGTCATGTCTTCAGAATGTCTGAAATTCTGCAGCTAGTGTCCTCACTAAATCTGTTCTGCTTCATCCTACAACTTCTGTCCTGTGTTGATTACCCTGGTTCTCTGTGAAAAATCAGATTGGACAGGTGTTTTGCTCAGTGGTTAACTTTGCTAACTTTAAACAGTGCTGGGGCCCAGAGCTCAATTTGTGGACTGTGATCCGTGTGGTGTTTGTATGTTCTCCCTGTGTTTGCGTGGGTTTCTTCCCACAGGCCGAAGGCATACTGGTAGGCTAATAGGCTTCTGGGAAAAGTGGCCCTGGTGTGAGTGTGTGCCCTGCGATGGACTGGCGTCCTCTCCAGGGGGGAGCCTGTTTAAACCCATTGCTTGTCATGGCTCTGGCTCCCCTGCAGCCCTGAATTGGATGAAGAGGTGAGAGAATGGATGGATGGAGGTGTTTTCCTGCTCATGTACAAGGCTCTGAATAGTCTAGCTCCAAGTTATATCAAGGGATTATTGCATGAGTACAGTCCTACACTTAATCTGAGATCTGCAGATTTAGATCTTTTTATTCTAAGTTACATACCCAATGGATAGTAAAGCCTTCTGTTCTGTGGACTTTTCCGGAACTTCTTGTCAAATGCATTAGAGGCTTAACAACTATTTTTTAAATTCTCCTATAGACCTTATTACTGCACCTTTTAATGTTTAATTTAAATTTACTCTTGATTTTATAAGTCATCTTACTGTGCTCTTTTTTTATACGTGTTATGTGTTCATGTCCTATAATGCACTGTGAGTTTTTTAAAAGTCCTTATAACTGGCGCATTACTATCGTTATTATAATGTCGGGAGGTCAGCAGCGGTTCTGTTTTTTTTTCAGACCAGGACATGAAAATACATTAGTCCACAATTCATACAGTACTATCGCACCTTACCTTTTTAACAGGGCCATTTTTTTATACAAATGGCGATGACCGCAAAATTTTAAAACGCATGACTGAAGTTGATTCTGTTGTTGTTGGTTTTTGTGTACGTGCACATTTGCTCTGCCAGAGACAGATGGTTAATTGGTCGCTTGAACATTAGCGAATCCAGAGCGCCATAAGTTGATTTTCTCTCGGGAACAGAACATAAAAGCCAGCAGTCCTGTGCAATCCAGTCTGTGGCAGATAAAAACAAACAACAAAAACGCAATGAAAAGAGGCCAAAACAATAGTAAAGGCTTTATCACCCTTCGGCCTTAACCATTACATCTGGCAATCGCAATTCAGTGTGCCTGCTCCAGGTGGCCATCGCTCACAGGTATTGCTCTTACCTCCAGCCTTGTATTATTAAAGGGTATTTGATCTCAGAAGCATGGGCTCACTCCCAGTGCAGTGCCTGCAGGAAACCAGATAGCACAGCCTTTGTTGGCTTTTGCCCTGTAATAACACCATTCACTAACAGGCCCTGTTCATTTGGAGTTTTTTCAATGATTTTTTTAGGTTTCCCTGTGCTCCTCTCTTCACATAAATTATTCACCGGAGACCATGTGTGCAAGCCTTACTTCTGTTTCTATAAAGGAACCTATGTTTTATTTACCAAAAAAAAGGATTTATGGGTTAAATCCCATTTTCTTATTTACAATAGTATTTGAGAAGCTTCTGAGAACACTAGAGGTGCATGTGATTGGGGATTGGGGATATACAGTAAGTTAAACTTCAGTCGGAACTTGATACTTTGCCTGTATTCTGTTTTTTGCCTTTTATTTCAACATTTTTTAAATTGGCAGCAGAGATTTTTTTAGACTCTCTGACTGCACATTTATGTAGTTTTTGTTGTATTTTTTTGTAATCAGCTAGCCAGAGTTATGGCATTTTGGAAAACTGGGTTACCCTTGTTAAGTGGTGTTTGTTGAGCAGTATGTGAAATATTCTAAATGAATTCCCCTGTGCTGTTACCAAGGACACTGCGCTTTAGACGGTGCCTTCTTTCAGATGAGATATTGGACAAGTCCTGACTACTTTTAGTCATTGAAGATCCCTACCCCAGTGTCCTGGCTGAATTCCCTTTAATCCTTGTCTACCTGACGTTTCCCCCTGATTCCGCTTATGAAGCAGTTCCCCCTTCTGTGCCTGACCTGTTGGAGTCTGTGTTGGCAAATAATGACCATTTGATGTCACTCAGAAAGGTTGTGCTCTTCAGTGGTGAAGTGGATCAGGAATTCCGTGAAGCACTTTGATCTTTCTGGGTGAAAAGCCTTTTAAAATGCAAAAAAATTAATTGTTGTTGTTTTACAACAGGTGGAATGCAGGCAAACAATGGATAGGAGGAGTGCTAAGGCATTGAAACTCTTAGCAGTGTCAGCAGAAAAGGATTAAACAGGCAGCCAGCTGGCATTCCTCTGGAAACTGCAGTTTACTTGTTTGTTGCAGAGCACTGTTGTAGGACACAGCAGAAACATGTCCAGATCGCTCCAGACGCCCTCTACCTAACAGAGGCTGTGTGGCAACATTCCTGGTATTTTCTTTTGTTAGTTAGAGGATCAATTATCATCGTCCTCATCAGATTACACCCCGGAGTGTGACGTAATGTAGCACCTTAAAGGGCGCTTTGTGTAAATAAGTGAAGAAGAGATTCTCAGGAATCTCAGAGAACCTTCTCAGAAGTCCCCTAGGCACGGGAACTCAAGACTGCGCAGTGCTGAGAAACGTTATAGATATTCATGAAACTCTAATTAAAAAAATTGAGATGACCTGGTTAAACATTTATAACGCAAAAACATAAGATGCTATAGATTGGTTAATTAACAAAGTGATCCACCATTGTGTATTCTCTTCAAATTAATATGTATGCAAACCCTAAGATTAAGTAACTGGTAGCAGCAGTGACTTTGACTGCGCGTTATGTTTGCCAGTCTCTCTCATCGGCTCTTTTCTTTTCGGCCGATTCCTCCTTACAGAACTCATCCAGGCTTATGGCACCTCACTTCCTGTCCTGCCGTAATTTTTCAATGAGGTTAAGGTTTGGAGTTCGTCTTGGCCGTTTCAAAACGTGACATTTATTGCTCTTCTGCTGTTCTGTTGTATATCTGTTGGTATATTTAGGATCACTGTTCAGTCTCGTGACCCACTGTCATCTGAATTACAGCTGAGGATGACCTGACATTCTCCTCCAGAATGGGCCGATGCCAAGCAGAATTTATGGTTGTGTCAATGCTGGCAAGCCAGCAGCTTCAAACCATGGATTTCGCACTAGCATACTTGACTGTTGGGATGAGTTTGTTCTGTTGGATGGTTTTTGCTGCAAACTATGTTTCTTATTGTGGCCAGGAAATTAACCTTTTGACTCATCTGTCTACAGAACATTCTCCCAGTTGTCTCGTGAATCGTTCAGGTGCACCTTGGCAGCGTTCTTTTTAGTGAGCAACCGTTTCTTCCTGGCTATCCTGCCAGGAAAACCATTCCTGGTTCAGTCTTTTGCTGATGGTTGAGGTACAAACACTGACTTTAGCAGGCGCGAGTTGACAGATCCCTAGAATCTGGGGTTTGTCCTGGGTGGTTTTCT